CACAGTTTGACAATTTATCTTTTAAAAGTTGAACATAAACTTTTTATTAATATAGTCTTATGTTATTATTATTTTACTCCTAGAAATTTACCCAAGAAAAATGTAATCATATGTCCACTCAAAGATAAGTAACTGAATAATCATAGCAGCATTATTCATAATAGATCCAAACTGAAACCCATCCAAATATCCTTGAAATAGAGAACTGGTAAACAAAATGTGGTATATCCTTTCAGCAGAATACTATTCAGCACTAAAAATGAACTACTGATACATGCCATAATATGGATGAACCTAAAAAATATAATGCTAAGTGAAAAATGTAAGACACAAAAGATGACTACATGTTCTCTAATTCTGTTTATATGAAATGTTCAGAAATGGTAAATTTATAGTGTCAGCAGATTGGTAGTTACCTGTGACTGGGACTAGAAGTGGGAATTAACAAGGGAAATTTTTGAGATGATGGAAATATTCTAAAATCAGATATTGTGGTAATAATTACACAGCTCTATAAAAATCATAAGATACTAAAAATCATAAAATTATACACTTACAATGCATGAATTTTTTAGTATGTGAATTATACCTCAATAAAGCTATTAAAACAATAATAAAAATATCTTTCTCACGATGTCTTTATCTTAAATGGCAGATCATGGTTTTAAATACATGTTCAAAGGGGCTTTGTTTAGTGGGTTTAAAAGGAGCTACTGGTAACAAAATAAAATGCATTCTTGGATGATATAATTAGTACCAGTAACAGCTATGACCATAGTGATTAATAGTTCCAGCACTAAAAATTCAAAATCTCCCTTCCTGCCTCCTCTACCTAAGATCTAGATGCTGGCATGTTTAGCCTTCCCACTTGTAATTATCCTCCCCCAAATTGGAATAAGGATTAACTAATTATACTGATGCCTTCAGACACAAGCCATATCAAACACCCTGGTAACTGAGAATTGTCCTGTTCGCAAAAGTATGCCAGAAAGCCTTAAAATCTCTAAAATCTGCATTAAGGCCCAGCACAGAGGATTGAGCCAACCCACAGAGCGCCCCTGATCTAGTCCAGCTGGCACAGGTGCACCCTGTACTTCCATTAAATTTACTTTCTTAAAATGCTGCTTTGGATAAGATAAATCCCTTTCTCAAAAATCTACTTGGGTCTTAGAATGTCCATCAAAGGGCCAGGACATGGTGTTAGAAGCCATGGGTTTAAACTTGGCCCTGATATGAACCAGTCATGAGGACTTACAGAAGACACTTATCTTTTTAGCCTCAGATTATTTATCCCCCAAAGTGGGACAGTTCTGACTACTCTATAAAACTATTGTGAGAAAAAACATTGAATAGTCTATATAAAGTAACAAACCCAGTATATGTGTTGTGTTTAATCTGAATAAAGGATGTAGTCAATATGACAATCACGGCTTTCCAGGGTTTTGTATGGATCTTCCTGTCTAGCTTAATCTTCCAGTAGCCTCTTGATTCCTTATTCCAATCAAACCAGACTTCTAACCAGCTATCACCACCAGGCAATGACTCTGGCTTTTCCTGATTTCTGGGCTACCTTATTATCAACTCTGTATTCCATAATCTTGCCCATCTTTCAAGATGGCTTAAAAGCAAAATCCTTAGCTTTTAAAGACATTTTTTTTATGACATTTGTTTTGATTATTAACTCCTTAAACAACTCATTAGATCCTTAATTATATGTTTTTAAGTGTCAGAGCTATTTGGACATGTCATTTTTTCTCCTGGCACAGAATATGCTTCTGAAAGTATACCAAGACTTGCATATATACCTTGTTATATATCTCTACAGTGCCTCTCATAGGCTCTGAAGTAGGACAGGAGTCTCAACCTATTACTTTTTCCAACTGAGGAATTCCTCAAGGATAATTTGAAAACTTCTATTCAAATCCAATTTTCTCACTTTATAGGTGAAAAAATTATCCCCAGAAAGGGGACGTAGAATTCAAGGTAATACAAGTAGTTTCATGTTAGAGCTAAAAGCAGAATTCAGGTTTTCTGTGGCAGAGACTTCAAGCTGTCCCTCAATATCAATTCTCCCCCATAGTTACAGGACCACCAATTTTTAGTTAAAACATGGCTACTCGGAATAAAGACTTCATTTCTTATCCTTCTGTTAGTTACATGTGGATAAGTTGTGGTAAATGACAGTGCCACAAAACTGCTTCTGCTTTTTCCACCATCTCTTTTATCCTGCTGCATGGAATACAGATAAGATGATAGAATTCCATATTGAATCATGAGGTTGAGGGCCACATACCAGGGATGGCAGAGGAGAAAGCTGAAAGAACCTGACTCTTTGACGCTTTCAAGGAGTAGAGCCATAACATTAGCTGTGGATTGCCTACATTTAGACTTTTACATTGAAAAGAAATAAACGTCTATCTTGTTTAAGTTGTTATTTTATATGTGTTATTTTGAATATCTATTATTGGAAGCTTAACTGATCCTATTGTTTTTCTTATCAGCTTTCTGTTGCTCTCCCCTCTTCACACTGCTTCCAGGCATGTATCTTAATTCACTTTTTCATCATTTCAATCATTCATTCAATAAACAATCATTGTGCACCTACATTCTGCCTGTCATAAATCTAAGAGAAGGTTGGGTGGGCACAAGAGTGAAATGTACAGATCCTGCCTTAGAAGTTGTAAGTATTAAATGAACTTCCTATTCTCTTAAATAATGTCACAATTCATATGTCTGGTAAATATTCATCTCAGAATTTTTCTGACAATCCCATCTCAAATAATCTCACCGTTCAGTAATATATTGTTGATTGGACCAGCTGTACTTAATATATTCTATTTGTTCCCCTACATCCACTCTCTACCCTTCTATACCCTTTTATTTTCCTTGGGAGGCTGATCTGTATGAATTACATAAATGGGCTCTTTATTCTCTGGATTCTGGTTGGGTTGGCCAATATGAACTCCTAGAAGGAGATCAGATGTAAGTAAGAGAATGAGGTCTATATATTTATTTTTTTCACCTCTCTCTGTGGGATTATCTCAGGCTAACTGTGTATTTTAGCTGAAGGTCACCAATTCTTTTCAAGATGACCCATTAAATGGCTCTCTACTATTGTGTTTTGTTAACTATTCCTTCCCTTCATGCCCTTTGGACTGTTATTATAATGCCCTAGAGAATTTCGCTATACCTTGTCATTGCATGTATTGTCCACACCTTGTAAATAGCCCATTTATTAAACCTTCCTTAAATTATCCTAATCTGAGGCTGCCATCTGTTTCCTGCTAGCATGCTGACTCATACACCAAGTATACCAATTTTCAGTTCAAAATATACAGGCAACCAATACAAATGGCACCCATGAGAAGCACTGTTGGGAAGAAGGTTGGAGTAGAGAAAAGATATTTAGCAAAATCTTAGTGCATAGAGAATCTCAGACTATAAGAATAATGATATAACAAATCATGACCAGATTTATGTCTTAGGTACTTGAGCTGTACGTAGTCCCTCTTTATTGCGCTCTTTTTTGAGGTATGCTGGATTTATTTAGAAGTAGTTCTCACTTTTATGTGGAACTCACAGTCACTACCAAGAGCTAATTTAACTGCCAATACATATCAGAACCCCAAGTACAGTATCTTCTGCCAATTCTACCAGTATCTTCACTTAGAACCTTTGGAGCCTTTCCAATATGCCTCTTTTAGGGGCACAATCCACACTGTTTGAAGAAAACAATCACAAAAACAAATTACTACCTGTTTATTCTTTATTAACAACCAAAGTATTGCTGACAACAAAGAGTAAAACATATTAATTCAATATGAAGAACAACTTCAGATCCTAGTCTAGGCAGAAGAGGAAGGTAGGAAAAGAAAGTAGGAAGATGTGGTAGGCAAAATAATGCACCACTCTCCAACCCAAGATGTCTAACTCCTAACCCCCAGAACCTGTGACTATGTTACCTCATATAACAAAAGGGACTTCACAGATGTGATTAAGTTAAAGATCTTGCTATATGGAGATTAACCTGTATTATCTGGGTAAATCTATTATAATCACAAGTGTCCTTGTAAGTGAAAGAGCAAGACAAGAGAGTTAATATCAAAGTGATACAGCATGAGAAAGATTCAACCAGCCACTGATGGCTTTCAAGATGGAAGAGAACTACAAACTAAGAAGTGCAAGCAGCCTCTGTAAGCTGGAAAAGGCAGGGAAATAAATTCTCTCCTAGAGTCTCCAAAACAAATGCAGATCTGCTGATACCTTGACTTTAGCCTAGTGAGATTCATTTTGTATTTCTAGCCCCTGGAATTATAATAATTTTGTGTTGCTTTATACTACCATGTTTGGGGTAGTTTGCCACATCAGCAATAGGACACTCTTATGGAACAGGAGACTAAAATCTCTAGACCCAGGAAACTAAACCAGGAGCAGAAAAAAAGTCAGGAACTGATAGATGACAGAGACAGAGCACATTGTGGTCATCATAACCAAACTGCACAGCACTTGCTAACCTGTACTGCAGGCAAGTTTGGTTCACAAAGAAATGTATTCTTCATATCAGAGGCTCGCAGTAAGAAAATGCTTTCATACCTTTTGGAACACCTAGTAATAGTCTCCTTTTCTCTCAGAGGTTTTGGGATTCACCTAAGTTTTGTATTTTGCTAGAGAGCTTTATCAGCTTCATTCAGAAAAACAACCATCTGTCTCATACCTTATTCTGTGACTTTCTGGTGCCCCTGGTAGCTATAAATCACACAATAAAAATAATATTTAAAGAATTATTAAATTAATACTAATTATATAATTATTTAATTATAGTTAATATAGATCTTGCTATATGGAGATTAACCTGGATTACCTGGGTTAGAAGTTCCAGATCATATCATCCAGAAAGCACCAATATTAATTATTTGCATTCCATAAAACCTCATTGCTAGGTCTCTATCCCAAGATTGCCTGTTTCTAAATGAGTATCCCAAACCTGGCATAGGCCTTACCACACTCTGGCCTAGCTGCTCCCGAAAGAAGTAATCCATGTTTCTCTTTTGCAGGCTGTCAAGGTAATGCTGGAAGCGCGTGTACGTATATGGGTAGCAGTAAGCAAACTGGTAAATATCTTCTTCTCGGTCAAAACAAAAGGCAAAGGACATCACATAATTCTTCCTATGGTCCGGGCAGCGGTAGTAGTAAACATTTTTGGGTGGCAGCCTTTGCCTAAAATATATAAACAAAGAAAATTGGGCATATCAGGCATTTGTTCAAGCTTCAAAAGGTAATACATATAAATTAATGCCTAGGAGAAAAACTGTAACATTAAGAACCAGCGGTAATGGGGCTGGGAGAATGACAACACAAACCACATGATGTCAAAAACAGACCTGAATCTGGCAGCTCTTTGTTGATAATCCAGTGCTACCCTTTCTCAACTGTTTGGAAAATGCAAAGTTAAACAAAAATAGACGCATTCTATTCATTTGTTTATCCTTATTTTGAGCACCTAACATATGTGGCATCACATGCCCAGGCCTTGATGTACAATGATAAATAAGACAAGCAAGATCTTTGTCCTCAGGAAGTATATATTCTAACGGGAAGGTGGTCAAGAAAAGATTAAAAATAAGTAGGCAACATAATTACAGAGTCTAAAAGTGCCTTGAAGGTAAATCAAGATTGTGGTACTGTAAAGATATAAATACTTTTCCCTGGGAAGTCAGGTTTTTTAAATTACAAGACTAATTAAAAACTTTTAAAATAAACTCATATGCATTATATATTATTCCAGGAAGGGAAAAATATTCAACAAGTCTCTAAATTATTACTATTATTTTCTACAGAGCATTCCATGAAACTAATTTTTCACAGAAGCACTTTGGGAAATACTGCTTTAAAATATGCTGTGTGGGCAATTTTGCTAAGCTAAACACTGAGATACAAACATGAGGAAACAAAAATGCTGCAGTCATAGTTTCCGTAATTTCTTTGCATTTACCCACTTTAAAGAGTTACTATGCCTTGATTTATAATATCCAACCTCTTCACAATGTTTCCCTGCAATGAATGTCTCTCATTTCTATCACTAAATCCTGCTTATCCTGCAAAACCCATCTAAAACTGTGTCCTTTCCATGACACTACACTGACAATTCCAGGCCAGTTCAGCTCCACATTTTGTGTAAGTCTTGCTTTTCTATCAACTGCTTCATAAGTCTTAATCACCAAGGTTGATTTGGAAGATATGTAAAGGAAAGGATGCTCCTGGGGAGTGCAGATACAGTGGATAAGGGACATAAGGCTCACCTGTAGTGCACTGGCATTCAACTGAGAAGCCAAAGACTACAGGGACATATGAAGAAAAATGTGAGGAGGAAGGTATAGGAGGAGAAATTGAGAAAAACAAGAAGAGTGCTGGCCCCAGGTAGAACAACCTGGAGACAATTGTTAACAGAACAGAGAGCATTATAACATACTAGTGTTTGTTGCAGAATCTTGTTTCTACTTTAGTATCTTTCTGAAACTAAGTGGACAGGGTTGGGAGGTGTGGCTGTGGGATTCCTATGGAACAGCAGTGGTTACATGGCACTGATGCTTGTACATACATTCGATCATATTAAATTTAATTAAATATTCTTGCATTTGATTATATTAAAAGAAGTGACTAAAGTGATGGGCCATAAGATCTAAGATGGGTATCAATCTGAAAGTGCTGAGCAGAAGGACAGAATGATGGATATGCACTATAAGTCACAGAAACAGAGCTTTCACATAAAAGTCATTGGTAGTATCAGACGTTGTTTAGAGGTGCACTTTGGCCCACCAATAGAGTCTATCTGCCTCCTATTCCCAAAGCCACTGCCAACAAATACATAAATAACAGTCTTCTCATAATGGAAATATATCTTTAAGACAAATATTACAGGGACTCCTTCTTCTAATTAGACTGCTACCCTAAATTCTGGCTTGGAAAATGCATGAGGAGTGAGGAGAAAAGTGACCTCTCCTGATCCTTCTATATGTGCAGTGTAGAAGCATAAGCATTCCTTGAGAGGGCAATGGGGGAATTAATGTCCTCCCAGAGAGTCAGGCCTCAGTTCATTGTTTTATTCAGCAAATATTTAAGCATCATTTACCACGTCGAGTTTGGTTAAGACAAGAGGTAAAGGAAGAAATGAACTTAAAGACTGAGGATCCAAGTGAGATTATTAACCATGGAGCTGAGTTCCAGAGGAAAAAGTGGAAAATGAAGTCTGGAGAGGCAGAGGGAAGGAAGCACTGAAGAGTCAAGATTAGAGAGAGAACAGACTAGTGCAAGGATTTGGGTATGGAGAGAATACATGATGCTCTACATTTGTGATGTTATTGAAGATGCAGGAAAGTGAGGCAGGCTGGTGGCATATGCGAGTCCCAGGGTTCCAGATTTGTATTTGGGGAGAGTATCAGTGAAAGTGGCCTTGAGGTTTCCAGCCAGTGGTCTGTGATAGTAACTTCAGGCCCTGACTTGAAGGTCTGAGTTTGAGTCCCTTAGAGTCCTGGATGAGTATGTCTTCATTCACAATGGGTTCCTACAGTCATAAGGTAGGATGTTCCTACACATCATCAGGATATGATGCTGTTTTTAGCTCTTTATTTACCAGTATATCCAACCAGGTTATATGCTTTAAATTTTGTCACCACAGTTTTCTCCTCTTTCAGCCAAGTTCTGCAACTTGACTCTGAGAGGATGCTGTCTCCACTGAATTTGATTATGTGCTGTCAGGAGAATCTATTTACTGCCTGCAGCTGTCCCAGTTCCTCTCCTGGGTGAGCTAGGATGCCTAACCTGATTAGCAGACAGAGTAGAGGTAAATGGGCTCTGTGGCAATCATTCAGGAAAACTGAGATGCTGTTCAGGGCTTAGATTTTCTAGACTTTTTCAAGGATACAAACAGGAATCTATTTGAGAATGGCTCAGCAGGCAAAATTCATCGAGACTTTCAAGTAATGCAAAGAACAAAGGCAAAGGGGCTGAAACTAGAGAGGAAAAAATCTCTTTCATTTGGGACGTACTTCTGATTTTTCTCTTATTTTGCTCATTAGGTTCTCATTATGTCTCGGCCATTGTATTAAGTGTTTTATGTGCATTATAATTTAATCCTCACATAACCTTATGAGCTAGGGGCTGTTATCCACTTTACACAGATAAGAAAATTGAAACCAGGAGTGGGAAAAAAAAAGATTCCCTGAGGTCACAAGATCAGTGAGCAGCAGATCCTGTATTAAGCCTAGGCCAGTGTGACTCAAAAGCCTGTGCTCAAAATCCCTAAAGAATCTTTCCACTCTCCTTTTCCCCTTGCCACCCGACTTATAGCCTTATGCTCTACTTCCAGAAAAAAACCTGGTTTTACAGTACTCTCTTGCTAAAAACCTTTTATCCAACTTCTTATGTTCACATTTCAATTTGGCCCACAAGGCTTCCTGTGACGGCCTTGTGACTCCAGCATCATCACCCATTTCACACTCCTTGAACCCCATAGAGTTCATATTCAACTACTCATAACTCCCTAACACAATTTTGTGCCATACTTTCAATATCTCTGTTTTGCACTTGATCTTTCCTCTATCTGAACTGCCTTCCCCACCATCTTGCATACTTGGTGAACTCCTACTGAGAGATGAGGCATATTGTCAATTGTCAACCAATTATTTTAATGAACAAATCAGTGTATAAGTTAGTGACTACCCTTTAACACAGCTCTTCTCTAAAGCCTTCCATGATTATTCAGTCTACATTATTTTTTTCTCTATTTTAAAAAATGATATAAAAATATTTTTATCACCTGGTTTGTCTATTAACAATGATCAATAAAAGTGAATGAATATTTGGGTATTTATTGAAAGAGTAGGCTTCTTGAAAATGTAAACTGTGTTACTTCTTTCTTTCCTTCTAGTGATGGCATAGAGAAGTCTCAAGCAATTCTTATTTATTTAAAAAGCAATGAAAAAAAGGGATTAAAAACTTCTTATCCCAGAATATCATTGGTAGGCATCACAAGAAGGCAGATTCTAGATCAATATAGAGACTCTTTAACATTCAGCTGAAGGGAAAGTAGAGAGGGCTCCCTTACAGAGAAGTACAATATTAGAAGCTTTAGGGGTTAAAGTTCCTGTACTTGATGTTAGGTTAGACAAGGGAGACTTCTGATTCCATTTAACACAGACACTGTAAGATATCCATGGAAACAATAAGAAAATAATCATAATAATTATAGTACTATTTCCTAATATCTATATAGCATACGACTGTATGCTAGGCTATATGCAATGCTGTATCTATATAGCATTGACCATATGCTAGGCCATTCTAAGTACTCTATAATGTATTAACTTCTTTATTCCTCTCAACAATCCTCTGAAGTTATTCGTATTATATCAATGATATGAAAATAAAGGTAGAATAAAAAAACCTTTATGCTTAAACAGGGTTTTCATGACATCCCAGAAGACCCCTGAAAGAAAATGGCACAACACATGATCCTGCCAGAGACCCAGTAAGATTCCAGGTCCTGGGGTGTGTGCTTTCAAGACGTGGGGACTAAAGCCTGATCCAGCTCTTGGAATAAGGCCTTGTCCTGAGGACATCCACATGAGTGAGGGAGGTCTGTAACTCACGTCCTCAGATTCAGTCATGCATGCAGTTTCTGAGTAAGCATGCATGTGTGCACGTGCGCACACACACAGACACACTCAAGCATGTACACACTCAACACATTCACAAACACACTCTATTATAGCTTCTTTCTCATTCTCTCTGCCTAATGTCATTCTATCTCTCCATTATAGCTTCTATAAAATTATGTCAATTTTAACATGCTCCTTTCTCCACTTTGAGATTGAGCTCTCCTTGATGGCAGGTACTACATATTAGTCATCTCTAGTTCTCCAGGACCTATACAAAGGCTTGCATAGATGAGGTGCCAAAAATGCTTATGAATTAGGTAAATATGTTCATGAATAAACAACGTCCAGCTACACTAATATATATACATTGTACTCTCTCCAAGTGAAACTTTAAGTCATTCCCTGAATATATCATATTCTGGAAAACCTCCTTGCCTTTGTAAATCCTGTTGTTTCTGCCTACAATTGCTAGTCTCATTCTTTTCTACATCGTGCATCCTGTATAGAGAAGTGAGGCCTAGTTCAAATGATATTTCCTTTTTGAAGTCTTTGTCAACAACTTCAGGATGAATTAACTGCTCTAAATACTAATTGCAGACACTGCGGTGTTTCTGATTCACCTCAAAATCCTCAGCACTAGCACAGTACTTGGCCCTGAAGAGGAGCTCAACGTATGTTTGTTAAATGAATGAGTGACTTATGAGTGGATGAATGATTCCCCTCCCACCTATCATCCTCTCTACTTCCCATTCAGACCTCTCAGCTAAATTCCCAAAGCATTGTTTTAGAGGTTACCAGAATACATGGAAGAAGAGAAGTCCCAGATCGAATGGAGTATGTAAGTTTCTCTAAAAAAAACAGCATTCTCTTAATTCTCTGTTCCTCCTCAGGAGCCTTGAAAGACAGGAGCCCTAATTTCCTCTCTAATCAAGCAGAGAAATATGGATAGGAATAAAGGTGTTTCAACCCCAGTAGACACAAGCACTTTTCTTCAAATTAGCAGAAAGGGACATAACAAAAAATCAT